GCAGATCTGTTCACCTGAGTCACGACAGAACGTGGAGCCGGTTTCGGCGACTTCTTAAAAATCCCGGCCAGTCCTCCAGTTTTCTCCTGCAACAAATAATTTATTTAAAAAGATAAACATCGGTGACAGAAAACACACAAACACAACAGACCTGAGTTTATCTGTACCTTGGTTGTGTTCATCTCCGACAGATCCTCAGAACTGTCAAATAACTTCTTGTCTCCACTTGTGTTTGACTTCTGATCACAAACAAACAAATAAACAAAGAGGTTAAAACAAAAACAATAAATCAAATTACTGTAAAGTTTATGAACTGCACCTCTTCTGTGGATTTGGGAGTTTTCTTAAATGTGCCGGTGAAAATATTTTTGTCCTGAAAACAGACAAGAAAAAAGTTCTTAATCAACAACAAACCACAACATTTTTAGATAAAAGTGACATTTTCTGAACTTTTACTGCACAAAAGTCAGCAAAACTGAAAATGTGTTTTCCTTTAGAGACAATAAATTTATTTTAGAGCTCCACAAAAAGCACAAAATTCCATTTGAACATGCAACGTGAATATAAATTTACTATCATGAGGTGCAGAAAGATGGTCCAGACCTCGTGAAACAGGTCGTCTAAACTGGCAGATCTGAACATCCCAGCCAGGCCTCCTGTCTTCTCCTAAAACAAACAAATTTACATTTAATAATCCAGTTAAAGTGTAAGCATCATACAGAGGATTGAGGTAACAGCTGTGGAGGTAAACTGATTTATTTCTTCAAGCCTCACACATCATAAGATTTGCACCTTGAAGTGGTTTATTTGTAGTCTGGACTGGTTTCTGTTCATGTTTTCATGTTGAAAATTAACTGCAGCTCAGACAGRAGCTAAAGGAGAAGTGAGTTTTTACGCTGAAGTGTCTCTGCTGGTTTGTGAGCYTTTCTGAACTCATTGCTGAAAAAGTTTTTCTCCTAAAAACAGGACTCGAGAGTCAAGAAACTGAATATTTTTTGGATTTGACTTTAATTAAAGATAAACTGACCTTGTTGTTCTCAGTCAGGTCTTCACTGCGAGCTGACAGCTCTCTGTCCTGAAACACAAAGTCAGATCAAACCTTAAAAAGCTTCAAAATGTGGAAAAGTTTATAAACATTTCTGCAAATGTAGATTTATTTACCGGTGTAGCAGGAACTTAAGGAACAGTTCCACATCAGAACTTGAATCAATAATTACTCATCCCCCATATCTACAGAGAACAAGGACTTCCTCCATTGCCCTSAAACCCTTTTGTTTGCWATCTACAGGTGTTAAAATAAACAGGACATTGCAACCGCCAATTGATTAAGCACTGTTGTGAGATCTCTTTCAAGTACTCAAAAACAGCCGTTTATCACAAAGGACCCCACCATTTGCCAGACTGAAGGTCTCCAGAAGTGGGTTTGCAATCCACAACCCCGCTACCAGACCAAGTCTCCTGCTGGGATAATGCCCCCCGGATTTGCATACAATCTCATTTATGGTTTTAGAGCGCCCCCAAAAGGCTGGTCTCATAATCACATCATGAACAAATGTTTTTCTGGGTAAATTTCTGTTGTTTGTCATCTGATTAAAAAAAAGAAGAAAAGAAGCATTGTATTTTTCTATCATGATTCAATCACTATGATAATGTCTTGATTTAATAATTGCACAAAGTAACCCATCACTCTGTGTGTTTAATCATTTTAGCAGTAAGAACCGTGAAAAACAGACCATGTGACTATCTCAGCCAATCAGGAGTTTGTACAGTCAGAACAAGAGATAACATTTTTTTTTAGTTAGAAGAGTGAGTTGAAACAGCAGCGAGAGAGAGAGGACAGGAGTTTCCAGGTTCTTCATTCCCTTCGGGGACATTTTATTTTATTTAAATTTTTAAATTTTTTTTAGTTTACTTTTTGTAGTGCTGGGACTGGATTTATTCGGGAAACCGAACTGTCCGGAACTTCAGTTCAATCCACACGGGACCCGAACCGACCTCCTCATTTTCCAGCTTGGAGCCGACCCAAGCAGTCTCGGTGCGTCCCAAACTGTACCCACTCGGGACCCCTTTTGAGATCGAGCGGCACCGGTGATTCAACCTTGCTCGGACCTTCCGGTACCCGGGGACAGAACCGACGGGTTCGCATCGAATTGGTGGGAAAAGAAAAGCTTCCTATGTTTGGTGGTGTGCTCAGCTGAAGTGGTGAAAGAGGGAGTGTTTTGGTAACGATGATTGCACTGAAGGAAGAGCTGGCAAGTTCATTCCCCTTATGATTCACGTCCCTTCTTGATAAATGGATTAACACTTTCTTTAATTAATCTGGGAAGTTTTCACTCCTTTTGTTAGAATAGAAATAGTTTAGAATAAGTGGTTCAGTGACAAATAATGTGAGAGGTAGTTATTGGGTGATGAGTCACGTTATTATTAAAGCCACAGAGATCATGGTAATAATTGTGTTTCTACTGTTTCTGCCTAAATAACCTGTCTGTATTGTTATCTCTGAATCCTTAATACAAGGTATATTATGAAATTCATGCCTTGTCTGTGCGTCTTTTATTCGGATTTTTACCGTCAAAAACTGAAAAGAGCTCCATTCTTCAGTATATGAGATTGAGCAAAAATACGAGATTAATTTCCTGTTTTCACAGGTGGTGCCCCTTTATTATGCTAATGAGTTATAAGAAACTTATAATTTAGCAACTTTTCAATAATTAACAATATTCCCCTACACCGGTGTCTCAGTCTTTTCTCCTCTGGGAGTCTTTTTTAAGAACCCACTGAACAAACCTCCACTTTCCTCCTGGTTAAAAACATAGAAATAAACTGTTTTAGAAGAAACTGGGGTGAATGTTTAAATATGTATATTTTTATTCACTGACCTGTTTGCTCTCATGTAAACTCTCATTGCCAATGGGAACTTCAGCATCAGAAGACACATCCTGGAAAAGAAAAAAATTATTCTGTTTTCAGTCATTTTATTTTTGCAAACTGTCGTGGACAAAATATCAGGTGATGAGGCACAAATTTAGTTCAGTAATTAGTTTAATTAGTTTCTTAGTAATAAATAGTTTACATGGTTAAAAATGTGCAATTTTAAAACATTGAAACATTTTACTGAATAACTTAACTTTTCTCTCCTGCATCAGTTAATGTTTTAAATGAAAATTTATTAAAAAAAAACGTTTTCAACTAACAGAAAAAAGACAATCCTGCATGAAGGATTGGGGGAAGAGAATGAGTGGATGGACTAATAGACGGATAGATGGATGAACAGACAGAAAAACAGAAAGATGGATGAACCTGTAGGCAGATGAATGGTTAAAAGGATGGACAGATGAACAGTTTAATGGATGGATGAGCAAATAGACAGAGAAGGACAGAAAGATGGATGAAAAGATGAATGAACAGATAAAAACCCAGGATGAAGAGCTGAAGATCCAGATGTTTGGTTCATGTTTTCACCTCTTCAGGTTCCGCAGCTCCTGCAGGTTTGGGCTTCTTGACAGTGGAATTAAAAATCCCTTCTTTGTCCTGAAACACAAACATTCAGAGTGAAACTAATTATTAAAATTAAAAACTCTTCACTTTTCAATCAGACCGTCGCTGCTTCCTGACAGCTTGTTGTCTCGTGAGTTTTACTCCTGAGAAAAGATGAAAGGCAGCTCCAGGTTTATTTGAGGTAATTTACTGGATTTATTTCCAAGACATGGGATTATTTAAACACAAACCTCCTCTGTAGCAGAATCATCTGCAGGTTTGGAGGGTTTTTTTATGTTTTCCACCAACAGCTTCTCCCTTCTCATGGAAAAAAAACTCTCCAAAAAAAATTACACTTATTTTATGTCATGAATTCTACCCTAAACTCAGCTGTTTTATTGAACCTGATGTTGAGAGAATTTAAAGTAATACCTTAAAAAATGCATTTTCTCCTTTATTTGAGTACATTTATGAAAACTACTTCTGTGTTTGAGGAGCCGTACCTCTGCAGCCGCTGTCTGTGTTTTTCTGAGTCCAAAAACCCCACTTTTGCCCTGCAGACCTTTTGTCTCCCTCTTTTTGTTGCGTTCAGACAAACTGTCGCTGCTGACCGACAGCTCACTCTGATCACTCAGGTTCTCCTAAAACAGGAAACAAAAACACAACAAATGGAAAAGAAATAAAAATAATAAAAGAAATATGTTTGAGTGGTTAAAACACCTCACCTGTGCCGATGACTCGTCTGCTGGTTTGTTTGACTTACGGAGGATGCCGGAGATGAAACCTCCTTTTCCCTGTAAACAGAATCTGATGTTAGCTTCCAGGAAGGAATCTGGAGGCTGAAGTCTCTCCTGCAGCTCCTACATTTGTTTCTTCAGATGTTTTCTCCTCTTCTTCTTCATCTCCATCATCACCTGCTTTACTGATCTGGACACAGCAATATATATATTAAAGCAGATAAATTAATAGAAACCATTAGAGACAAAACATATGTTTATAACAAATTCTAATGATGTTTATAAAACAGTGAATATTTTGATGTTTTTAACCAGAAGAAACAAAAGATCACAACATGATAAAGCTGCATT